ACAAAAATATACAGAAAAAGTTATAAAAATAAAACCTTGAATTTGTATTGGAACGTGTATACTGAAATGAGAATAAAATACATTAGATTCATTGAAAATCATGATAACATTCCAAAAGAAGATTATAATACTTATTGATGCTTTTATTGCCAAATATAAGTTGTTAACTTTTATTATCAATAGTTTGCCAGCCATAGAACAAGTGTTAAAAACTTTACATAAGAAATAAATAAAACAAATAAAAATTAAATAACTTATATTTAAGCAATGATGGGAGTTTTAAGTGGAAAATTAAAAAACTGTTAGAATATTATAAGAATCAAAAGAAAATAGCATTATAATGGGCTAAAAATGGGCAAATTGAATTGATTATGATGATAAAAACATTTTATTCAGAATTATCTTTAAATAAAAATTTACCAAATTCATATACGGAAATAATTATTATTTCTAACCGTTACTATTTTCCATTATGTCGAAAATTTGTCAATTAACAAAAAACAAGTTCAGAGTCTTAATTTAGAAATCTTACTATTTGATCCATTAGTGTTGATTTAATATTAAACTATAAAACAAATATCACATTGAAGCCATAGAAAAAGTAGCTGAAATATGTGTTCATACCAAAAGGAAATGATCCAAATGCATTTCGCTGGATATTGATTTAATTACAAATATAATTGCGATAAAACATTTATAATTTTAGATTTATTTAAAAATTTTATATTCATTTTTACTGAATTAAATTTGGGGGATTTAATTTTTACAAATTGAATATCATGTGATTTTACGTAACTAGCATTATACATGATCTTTATGTATGTAATTATCAACAATATTTTCATTAAAAATTTAATAAATACAAGAAGTACAAAAGAAATAGTCCACTTACGAATAACATACATAGTTTGCAGTAAATTTCATTATACTTAATGATTAAAAAATATTTTCATTGGATTCCATGTCCTTCTGAAGTTCTATTCATTAAAATTTTGTCCAGATATTTTCACTATTTTTTAAAGAAACAATATTATAGTCAATCATAATCCCTTTTTTTCATGCATGATCTTTCTGAAATTTTTAGAGATTTCTAAAAGCCCTGAACAATTTGTGATGGATATATCCGCAACTATACTAATACCTTGGGGATTCTTCTGGGGGAAAATATTTTATCTCAACCAACTTTCGCCGAATAAGAAAGCGTGATTATGTAACTGAAGTATATTATATAAACTTTGTTTTCGCGAGTTTGAGAGTTCCCAAGTTGGAGTTAGCAAAGAGTAGCAAGTGAGTTGGCGAGTTAGTTGTTAGTTGAAGATTGTAACGTGGAATTATTAAGAGTTTTGGAGTTAGTCCACGAAAAGGATTACGGAGAGTGGATCCAACGACAGTGATTTAATCCAGATAAAGATCTCTTGCAAGATTCAAGTGTAGGATCCGCTTCATAGAAGTACAGGTATCGAGAGCCTTGATTAATTAGAAATTAGCTTATTAGTGTGCGACGTAGTTTATATTGAGCGTATTTAAGATTCAGTTGAGAGTCCATAGTATTGTCCCCGTGTTATTGAATCTCACCTCCACGTTCTACTATTTGATCACCTATCTTAGTTAGATTGTTATTGTGTCTGATTGATATTTTGGTAACAATAAATTAATTAGATTGAAATCATGTTTGCTGATTATTCAGTTTCTCCCACACACCTAGCCGGGTCTGCGGGTAGACAAGGAGTTTCAGATGTAAACAGGAACCGTCCGGCATTACAAATTTACAGGAAAAATCTCTAAATTTAACCCTTTATGAACCAATTAGAATTTTATGAGGAAAAGGTACATTATCTAGCAAGTAGTTTAATATGAAACCCGATGCTTCCAATATTTACCCTTCGTTTTTACATTGTGATGCCTATCTTAGGAGGGATTTTCGTCACACGCGCAACAAAAACCTTTTCCTGATCAAAAGTATGACCAATTCTATCTTAGTCATCTTATCGGCAGGAAACATCACCAACCACCGCCACCATTGCAGATGTGGATTGGGTACAAGCACACTCTTCCACACACTCAATTTCATTCCCAGTTGCTTAAAACTGTCAGACGTGAAATCGAATTACGGGCACTCACGAGAAATCAAGACACGCGCAGCTTAATGGAACCATCACAGAGGACATCTCACAAAATATCTCACTGACATTTCCCACCAAGTCCTAAGTCATCCCAGGGGAATTCGTTCGTAAAATAATTCACCTGATCGTTGTGAAACGTTCCGAGCAGATTGGATGCGGAGCTTTTTGTCGTGATCGCATCTGCGAATTCTAAACCACCCCTCTAAAGGCACGTGACCGTACACGCGTTTCTTTTCATGCTTCCTGCCACGGGTACATCCCCCAAACCCTGATAAAAACATCACAATTTGATGGGAAGGGATGGTAACAGGTGGCGTCAAAGCATTCATGGGGATTCGAATAGACTTTCAATTTGATGAGAATGCTTTCAGGATTAAAACGATTATTACAGTCAATGAAACAATTATTCACTTAAATTACTCGTAAAGATTCATTCGTTTACATTATTTTATTTACGATTAAGTTTTTTGCATAATCCATTCAGGAAAATTATCGCAAACATGAATTCTTGAACTTTTTAAGCCATTTTTTTTTAGAAAAGTAAGAAGCTTAACTTTTACATTTGAACTTAATGACATTAAATAAGAATTTAGTTTTAATCCTTTTATCTTTATGTCTTTTGTTTTTCCTAGTGCCTTCTACATCCGTTGTAGTTTTGAATTATTTTTGATCGTTTGAGGAATTATTTCTAAAAAGGAGGGGGAAAAGTACGAAAGGATTTTATAAAAGATTTACATGCGAATTTTAATAATCGAAATACTAAATATTTTGACGATGTGAACTATTATTTCAATTTAAAGCTATTTGGATTCATGGTTTAAGCATTATCTTTTTAAAAAATTAATAATTATCAATTAAAAAGAAACCAAAAAGGACTGTAAGGACGGGGAACAAAGCAACATGTACAATCTTTTTTTCATTTTGTAATGAAAAAAAAAAAAAAAAGAATAGAGAGCAGAGGGAAAATTCTACTAGAACATTAACAATTATTAAAATTAGATTTTATGTTTGCTATAGTACATTTTAACTGCTATGAATCCCTTTTCATCAGAAAATTTAAGTAAATTCAAATTTATAAAAAATATAAGTTTAACAAAATTTTGCTACAAAATAGTTCAGAACTGTTTTTGTAGTGAAATATTGCAATAGAAAAACGAGTACTGCATAAATACATATACATAAAATTAATGTACTCTTCAAAAAATTCAAAGTAATTTATTTATTTATGTATTGATCTTTTAATTTTCCAAAATTTAGAGCTCAAATGATTTATTTTCATACTAAGTGACCCTTTTATATTTGGAGCAAATATACACTCACAGTCTTGCTTACTTTAATAAATAGCTTTATCTTTATCAGCTTTTTAACTTCCATAAAGACTGATACCCGAGTTTTACCTCCATATATACATTATCTGAGATATATTAAATTTTCTCTTTCAAAATATTATTATCATGTTTTATTTATTAAACATTAAATCGATTTAATTAATGAATACTTTGTTTTGTTATTTACCTATAAGTCACACATATTATTTTTATACTATAATTAATGAGTATTACTTAGTTTTTTAATTATTTAGTAATGATGATTGAGAGATTAAATTGTTGCTAAATACAGCCGTGTATATCTTCACCTGCTGTTTTATAATTATTTTTAATTAATTTTTTCTTGAAAAAAAATACTTCCCAAATTTAATACTCTTTTATATACTTTGTATCCTTTTCACTATCTAAGACGATGATGACCCTCATTACTTTAAGAGATTTTAGAACATTCAAGAACCCAACCCCCACGTCTCACCTCACCCTTCTTGAACTCCGTTTAAAAGACAGCCATTTAGATGATGAGAGGGCGAGGCCTACACAAACACCCATCAAAAAATCGTAAAACCCACCTCTTTCCCTGACAGAATTTTACGATGCCCTTTTTTCCAAAAACACGGGATTAAAAGAAGAGGGGAGAAGGTAAAACAAAAGAAAACGGTCCAGGCATCCCTACGAAGTCAAACCGACGTTACAACGCGGACTCTTTCATATAATCCAGTTACAGCTCCAAGTCACCGCGACCCTGGAACCCTCTGGGGAACAATATGGAGCTCCGAGCTACTTCATGAAAGCAGGGAAGGCTTCTGCCTTCAAAAGCCAAAAGGTCCCACTTCTCCTAATTGATATCCAAAAGCAGAACACTCCATCCCTAGAGAACACACGCGGAGAGCAGTTATTGCAACAGAAAACAAGAGACGCAGTAAGTATATTATATAACCTCACGTAACTTGTGATGCGTTGAGTTAGAGTTTTAAAATAAGGGGCATCCCCGAATTTAACGGTCTTTTCGTCCCGGGGTGGGCCATGGCTTTTAAGGGGATGGAATGGTACGGGGGAAAGTGGTGTAATCCATTTTTGTTGAAGAAGTCGAGAGCTGGGAAAAACTGGAAAAGCTGAATTTCTTGTCATCAACAAATACCTTAATCGAATGAAATATTTTTTTTAATTAACTATAAATAGATTTTTATTAATTTTGAAACATTAAATACATTCTCAGAATTGCATGTTGATATAATGCAACTGATTTTAAACAAGTAAAATAAAAAATAAAAAAATTTAATCAATTCTTACTTAGGTCAACAAAGAAAAATTTCATTTTAGTTACTTTTTATTAAATAGTTCCAATTAATATAAGTATGTATATACATATGACAGAATCACAATATTAAGTGACAAAATAGGTAGCAATTTCTTTGTAATTTTTCATTTTCCTTTCTATATATGACGTTGGACTATTTTTGTTTGTTGCTACTATTTATTCAATAATTAGATTTAACTATTCTAGTGAAATAGTATAGTAAAAAAGAAAGCATATTTTCCGAAATTAGACCATCCCAGGTGGGATTCGAACCCACGACGCGGATTAGAAGTCCAGTGCGCTATCCATTGCGCTACAGGGACACAAAAAATCCGTTTTCTTTATATATATACTGTTGGACTATTATTTTTTGTTTCTCTTTATTCGTTTTTAATTTAATTAATAAATTAATATTTGAAAAAAAACTGTATTAGCATCAAGTGTCATCCACTGCAAGTTTTAAACAATGTATTTGAACTTGAATGAATGAATAGAAAGTATTTTACTAACGATGGAAAATTTGAAAAAGATATATAAATAAACATATACCTATATCTATATCTATATATCTATATATATATATATGTGTGTATGTGTGTGTGTGCGTGCGTGCGTGCGTGAGAGAGTTAGGGAGAGAGTTAACTAATAGTAATAGTAGGAATTGAAAAAGTTTTCTGCGTTTGAAAGTGACTTGTATGCGTATACAAAAGAGTACACAGTTTAGCATTGCGAAAATTATAAAAAAAACTTGAATAATATTTAATAAATAAATATAATTTATTGGTAGCACTAAAAAGAAAAGTATAACCTACAAACACAAGAGGAGGCACGGATGTATAAATTTATAAATAATTAAATACATCCTTTGTTTTATTGTAAATATCCAAAGATACCAAGATATTTTAAGTTGTGAATGTCATTGCATTTTACTAATGCAACAAAGTTTTTCAACAGCTTTTTTTAAAAATATATTTGCAAAGAAATCATCGGGAAAGAAAATTTATTATAATTTATTTATATTAATAAACTTCTAAGGAAAATATAATTTGCTTTGATACATACAAATACTGATCCTTTCTAACTGATAGAAAATTTTCTAAGCAGTTTCTGATGCACTTGGATAAGTAATAATTAGAAACTTGTTACATTTACTTTCAGCAATGGCTTTTATCTTGAACTACAATACGCTATGCAGGCTTACCTAATAATAATTATTAAAATGTTTAACAAATATTATAACTGTAACTGTATATCAAAATTTTATCTTACTAATAAAAAATATTTGTTGGAACAAAAGGATATTATTCGACTTACAAAATTAACTACATGAGCAAAACAAAGAAAGGCGGGATGAGTTAAATTGAGTTTGAACTGCAGAACAAAAGTAAAGCTGTGAATTTGATTTAATTAAAATTTCTTAAACGTAACATTAAAGTAGTACTAAAATAGAAATTAAGAATCTCATATTAGAATCCTTAAAATTAAAAATCACATTGTGGTAACATTCGGCTACCTCTTACATCCGAACCCTCTTGTCTACCTGTAAAGCCGACTAGATGTGTAGGAGGAGCAGAGTAATCCACAGACATTATTGCCAATCTAATTAATTTATTAATTCTTATTAACAATTATCAAACAGACACGATACAATTCTAATTAAGGTTTATGATTATAGTAGAGTGTGGAGGTGAGATTCTATAACACGGGGATACTACTACAGACCCTCAACTGAATCTAAGATAGCTTAAATACGCTCAATTACAACTACGTCGCACACTAATAACTAGCTTCTACTTAATCAAGTGCACAGTACCTGAACCTTTATGCATCGGATCCTACACTGGAACTTTTCAGGCACTCTCTTCGGCTTGATCAAATGACGATGGCTCCAAGCTTTGTGATCTTTAATTAATTCCACTGCTTTTCAATCTTCAACTAACAACTAATTCTCAAACTTCTATTAAACTCCCATTTGCACACATCTAACGTATCAACTTCAGCGTATCAACAAATCACTTCCTTCCTTCCTTACTTACTTTCTTCCTTACTGCCAACTCGCGAAAACCGAATTTATATAATATACCTCATTTACATAAATCCCGTTCGCTTACTCGATGAAAGTTGGTTGAATTAAATACTTTGTTTAAAAAGATAAGAAGATATTAGTGGAACCGCGTCCGTCACAACATCCTAAAAATAAGTTTAATAATACATTCTACTTTATCTCTATAGTTTCATTTGTTCAAAAAAATATTGATTTCTTTCCTTTGTATAAAATTTCAGTGGATATCGAAATGTGGAGGATACTCTAATGTATGCATTTAAAGCAATCTAAAAGTTTTTATTAATTTGCTTCATTTCAAAAATATTTCAGACGAAATTTTTTTATACAGCATTCATAACTCAACAATTTGTAATCTATCTGAAAATAGTCTTTATCAATGGTTATTTCTTTGGAATATTTATTATATGACAGTTTTTTAAATGTATTTAAACACATTAAATAAGAACTTAAATAGTTGAAATTTATTAAATCTTAAAGATATATTATCAAAGTTTTTTTAAGAGAAACTTGCTTGCTGGAAATTTAATTCAATCGATAATGGAGCTGCAGAATTCTAAATAATATTATGTCTCTAAGCCCTTATACTGTGGAAACATAGAAAATGAAGAACAAGTTCTATTATTGTCTTCACATTTCGTTACATGTACAGTGCACGATGCCTAAGAAATTCCACAGTTATGATTTCCGACCACAACATTGGTTATTGCCAAAGCCACAAAGGTAAGTTTTATAAGATTTTTTTTATTTCTAATGGGCTGCGGATTGGTGTTATACCATTGCAGACCTAGTACAATCCCGGAAACTGGTATCTCTTTTTAGTGCAGCACCATATAGGTGGCTGACCAATCGCTGCAGGTAATTTTGACACCCAGAGGGAGGCACCTGAGCTCTGACAATACGAACCTATGCTAAGACTTAATTTTGCCGAGAGTACCTAAGCCAAATAAACACTCTAAGGATCTTTTACATGCCGTATAATCATACGGCATGGCCGCTGTCGATTTTCTGCATCATAAAAATCCACCAACTTGGGTCGGTGTCGAACCTGCAACCTTAGGTGCAGAAGGCCAGTGACAAACCAACCACACCACCCAGCTGGCAAGTTTTATAAGATTAATGTATTTATTCTTCATGTAATATTTCTTCTGTATATTGTATCGTAATGTGATTAAGTGTGTCATAAATAGTATTATACATATTTTTCATTCTCATATAAGAGGAATATATGTATTTGACAGTATAATTGAAGGATTCTGTAGTATTTTCTATTTGATGTTACTTTTGGATTAGCTGCTTTTTATATTATTAAGACTTGAGTAAATTCTTAATAACTGCGACGATGAAAAATAAACTCATTTCTTTTAAATATTATATAGGTAGCTGACAAAATTCATTATCTTTCTATTAATAAGAATACCTCATTTTTTTTTTTATTGAAAAAGATTCTATACAGGAAGAAAAACTTGACAAAGACTGATTTTTTTCCACAAGAAAATTCTATGCAATATTCAAATCTAGATTAAGTCGTGTTCGTGTGACCGAAATATATATCAAGTCTAAGAGATTTCGTGTAACACTTTGCACTAACCTTTCCGGAAATAAAAATAGCCGCATTTCATTTTTAATTCATTTTCTTTTAGTGAATTTATATATATTTTTTTTTTTTGATTCTCCGATTTCTCATAAAAAATATTTTACAAAAACAAAACACCTGAAGCACACACGCATACAAATCTCATAAAAAAAAAATTGCTGCACATACAAAAAAAATCAGATTTTCCTTACAACAAAAACGAATGTTCTGGCGCCTGACTTACACCATTGCTGCACGAGTCACAGAGTTCGTCTGCCGAATAAATTGTTAAAGATCACGCGCATATGAGCTGGGACGTCTTTTCAAGTCCATCGGCGTAAATCTGGAAAGGCGGGGTGGTTTTATGAGAGTCGCGTAATCTGGAGAGCGGAGTCTATTGGATTGGCTTTGGGGAAAGAATATTAAAATGAGTGCCCGGAATTTCGGTCACGCTCTTTAACAGATCTTGAAGAGATAGCCTTTTTAATAAGAAGAATGTAAGGATAAAGATGTTGACTCTCGACTGCGTGATATATTGGTTGTGATGGAAATGGTATTATGTCTCTTTATGGAAAGGCTTTCAAGTTGAAGCGCTTTATTTAATATCTGGGAAAGCTAAGGATTATGCGTCTGGAAAGGTAAAAGGGGAAGAGATGGCTGTTTAAAATCAAAAGTAAATATAAGCTGTGTGAATAAGCGCTCGTAAATTTAACTATATTTTCTCAAAGGAGTATGTGCTTATGAAGAAAAGACATTAATAGCTAACTTTGAATTCCAATTTTAAATTTAGCTACATCTATACAAATAAATAAAAGTGAAGTATCTGTTTGTAATTTCAAATTAACAGCTCTTAACTACATGTATTTAAAAGTATATACGGTACTTATATCAAAAAATCAATTTTTTAAATTTTTTGACTGTCTGTCTGTTTGTTCGTGCTAATCTGAAACGGCTGAACCGGTTTTGACGGGACTTTCCCTGGCCGATAGCTGATGGTATAAAGAGTAACTTAGGCTACATTTATTTTAGAAAAAAAATTAGGGTTCCACGAAGACAAAATTAAAACAAATGAAATAGTGAACAATGTCCGATTCAAATAGGGAAGAACGGATTATTATATCTCTATATATAAAAATTGCTGTTTGTGTATATATGGCCTCGCTTCACTCCAACACCGTTCGACCGATCACTATGGAAATTGGCATGTAAAAGTATTTTTTTGTGGAGAAGATTTTTGCGTTACCATCTTATTTGCAGCTCTCCACCAGGTAGCGCTACAGCATGTCAACTTCTGCACCGCTCAATCAATCGCCAAGTTGCCAACACGGTCGCTAAAAATGATTGTCAACTTGGTTCTACCGCCACATTTCGCTGTTTCCATTGAATCGCCATTATAATATAAGAAACGGCGTTGCTTGCGAGCATTACAATTTTAAAATAAAATAAATACAACAAAAAATAATATTAGCATTTTACACATCCAGATATAAATTATTTACACTGTTTTAAGCATTCAATACAAAAAATTTTGTAACAATGTATTACTTTTGTTGAGCAGAGATAAGCTTAGGAAGGTGTTTTCAAAAATCGAACCACAAGACAATTACGGGGCGTTACAAATATTAGCTGAGGACTTTTGCTGAGAGCTGTAACTCCCACAAGAAAGTTACGGAGGGGTTTAAAAT